CCCTACATGAAAGCATAAAGCTCTGAAGAAATACTTAAATTGGCTGTTCCATTTTGCTTATAGAAATTTTAAAAGCAAGATATTTGTGTGCTCATGGTTACTACCTGATACATCTATGACAAGTATTCTATATATGGCACCATGGTAAATATTTGAAACTCTAAGCTTGTGATTTAAGCATTCATGGAAAAATTTTGCATAGTTTGAAAAATCATCATGCTAATTACAAGAACTGCATATCATGATAATCCTAATGAAACCTCCTTTGATTTAGGCATTCCTTCTTCTGATTCAAAGAATGCAAATCTTTATTTCTTGGATGTTGTCCACCAGGCCAATACTATTTTCCATTTATTTGACAAACAGTTCAATGATCATCTGATGCCATTGATCAGGTATTTATTTTGATTAGCATTTCCTTTGTGAATGGTCATTTTTGGCAAAGAAAGCAATTTTTTTTTTTTTTCACTCCTCTATTGAGGGGAGATTATTCTTGAGGTGGTTCAGCTTGATGTTGTGGGAAGATAAAGTAATGTAATGGAGTGGGGAGAAGAATGGAAGCTAAACATATTGGTTCCTGCACTCAGTAAATTCTGCTCAGGTTATATGCCTGTTCAGGGTGTTGATTTGTTCTGATGGCTTGTTCTGAAGCCATCTGCCTCCATCTTAACTGGTCCTTTCTGATGGGATGAGAAATCTCCACAAAATCCTCCTGTAAGTAGTAGACCCAGTGGACATATCTGTTTTTAGAGTTTAACAGTGCCTCACACCTAACCCTCTATACTATTGCAGTTCTTCTCCTAAATTATCTGAATGCCTTCAGAAGAAAAAGGATATCATAGAACAAATGGAAGTGAAGCTGGATATGGGCATTGATAGGCAAGTAGAGATTCAAACTTTAATCATTAATTCTTGTAAAACTCCTTTGTGTACATTAGCTTTCCTTTTAAGGATGAATTATTGCTGAACACAAAATTGATTTAATTTTTTTTTTCAGCCCATAAGTAGGCATTATCATGCATAGCAAATGTAGATTTTGGTTATTTTAGAGGGTCATATTTTCCATGGCAGATTTCTGACCCACAGATAGTTCTGGGAGGACATTAAAGGATTTTGGTTATGTTGAAGGAGTGTAATGTTTCAATTTTACCTTGTCTGCAACTAATTTTTACTAGTTTTAAAGGAGAGAGGAATGATGATTGAAATAGGCTAAAGACTTGCAAGATTTCCATTAGGAGCAGAGTTTGACAAAAATAGGTTAGATGATTTGCTTGAATCTGCAGTGCTCTGGATTAGACCTAGTCACAGAAGTCTGTAGACCTGAAATAATTCCGACATTGACTTGCTTTGAGGTTGTGAATGACTCATTTAATCTTTTTTTTCTAGTTGCTAAAGTAAAAATGGATAGCTATAAAAAATTATAAATTAAAATCACAGCTGTTTTGCAACAGAAGGAAGTAATAAACTAACATGCTTAACTTTAGGAAATGGAGCTGTTGTGTGATGCCCTCCTTTGGTCCAGGAAACATGTAGTGTCCTGTATTTCCAGGTGGCATTACTCAACCTAGGACATGTTATCTGGGCTTTCTGTGTCTGTTTTCTCTCTGCAGTAATGGAATTAAGCCACCCTGTGGGTAACAAGGGCTACTCTGGAAACTGTTATTGAGGTTTTTGTAAGCATCACACCAGACTGGAGAGAAATGAGCACAGCACTATGTAGGAAAAACAGGCATTGCTTTTGTGTCCTTTTCTTCAGAGAGATGAGGAAGAGATGTGTTGTATTGTTTGCACCTGCACTTTCTGTAGGTGCAAGAGGAGAGGTGGAGATACAGGATGTGTAAGTGGCAGTGGAGATTCTAGCCTCTACTGCTGGAAGTGACCTTAGAGGTTTAAATGCAGAGTTTGAAATACTTGAGCCACTGAGGCCATACAAGCTGAGATCTAGATAGAGGCAGGCTGGTCATCAGCATTAGAATAGTTTGTTAGTGTAAGATAAATTATCTTAAAACTGATAGTAAGACTTAAGAGGAAAAAAACTCTGTGAAAATATAGTATGTTCAAAGGTTTGTGGATGGAGACATCAAAAATATTTGTGCTTTGGCATATACAAAAGGGAGGTTAGTTTTGTGATGAATGTTACCTGTAAAATGCTTGTGTGCCTGCTTACCTGCTGCTCTGTGGTGCCTCTGATGCTGTTGATAATTGATTGTCTTGATTAAAGGAATGATCTAGTTTAAAACATAAAAGCAAATTTTGAAATGTTGATGGTTTCAACATTGTTCAGTCTGAAGGAAGTCGAATAGCAGCTTCTTGACTGCCTTTCATAGCAGTTGTCAGCCTCTGTAAAAGTCATCTATTAGCCAAAGAAGTGCAAACAACATTTTTCTATGCTAGGAAAAGGTGTTTATCCCCTCTTTGGATACATCTATTCTCCCCTTCATCCCAACTTGAATCCTTCAAGGCATGTAATGGCCTTGACTGTGTTTTCTTCAGTGAGGTTGGAAGGGTGAGGGAAGGCTGAAGAAAAGGGGGGAGAAAAATAAAGAAGTAGAGGGAGGTTTCTGGCAAAGATGGGCACTGGGAGGTCTACGAGGGAGAAATAAATGACACTATAAAACTATTGGATTTGTGAGAACAAGAGAAATATCAAGCTCTGGCAATGGAAGAGATTTTGGGGGTTGTCTGGTTTGTTTTTTTTTATTTATTATTCCCTCCTTCCTTTTCCAAGCATTTTCTGATGCTTGCTTCTGAGTAACATGCAATGTGATGTAATTCTGCTAAACTCTTTGGAATGATTCCTTTGGCTTTCTGATTTCTTCTGCATTGAAGAGTGCTCTCCAGTTTCTCTGAAGAGCTGGATTTGAATGGATTACCTTACAATTAATGCATCCCCTTTAAAACCAGCATGCTGTGTGCTGTGCTTCAAGACACTGAACTTGGAGGAAAGAGTTTTTAGGGTTGCTTTTGGCTGATTCTCCTTTTATCTGCTTCTGTAAAATCAAGCATTTCTTCTCTATAGAGCTGCTTTGCAACTTCAGAGGAGTGCCTGTGTGCATGCATGTCTGTTAAATGAAGCATTTCCTGTGAAATGTCCCAACACCACTTCTTATAATAAATGTTTGCTTTTAGTGTGTTTTCTGTAGATGACTCAAATGCTAGGTAGTGGGTTTTTCCTCATTGCTTTATGCTGCTTGCTTTTGTATAATCCTTTTAATATATGTAAATAAAAAACTTAAGGAAATTAAAATGTTCCCTTCAAAACCCAATCTGTATTTGTAACTTTAAAGGACACTGAATTGTATGATTGGACAGATGAAGCACATCTTGGCTGCAGAGCAAAAGAAGACAGATTTCAAACCAGAAGATGAAAACAATGTTTTGATTCAATATACTAATGTAAGTAAACAAAGCTGCAGCCCATCAGTATAGATTGAAATACTCATCAGTGGTACCAGGTACAAGCTGTTTCTTACCAACCACTCATTAGACAGCACATGCATTTGGTTAATTTACTTTGCTATTCCATTTTACAGTCAGCACCTCCCAACCCTGTTGTGGCTTATCTTCTCAAGCTGAAAAGGAACATTAGTAGTTTTGTACCCAGTGTCAGACAGAAATCAGTAGGTGCTGGACAAACTGTCACATTCTTTCTCCTCCCAAGAGGTCCGGATTTGGAGCAAGGTTTTTAGCTGTTAATTAGCTTTAAGCTATCAGTTTCAGAAAATCAATTATCAGAAACTCTTTAGCTGCTGGGTACATTTTCCCCTTAGAATGGCACGAGCATCACAGCTATGGGATGTTCCCCATAGAGAGGAGTAGAGAACAAACTACAGTGGGAAAGGGAGCAGTGGAGCAGTAGGATGTAGAGGCTGGTACTATGTGGGAAGGATGAAGGTACCTACATGGCTGTTAATTTGGGTTTATAATTGCAGCTGAAAAGGTTTTTAATCATTTCCCCCTCCCACCCACCCCTTGGTTTATCATTCTTTGAATTAAAAGCCCAAAATAAACTGTTCTATTCTGAACTGATATGAATTATAACTTGACTGTTGTCTTTCAGCCATCTTTCTACTTGCATTTTTGCATCTTTATGTGGCAAATAAAATCCTATTGGAGAAGGGCTCATTTCAGTGATGTGCTGTGGGAAGTTTAAAGGTTTAGTGACTGATGTTTGGCTTATGCTGTGGAAGCCACTTTGAGAAAAATGGATTTCTAGAATGTAAGCTACCTAATTTCTATTTTTTTTTTTTTTTTAGGCTTGTGTTAAAGTCTGTGGCTATGTTAGAAAGCAAGTGGAGAAGATTAGGAATTCTATGGATGGTAAGAATGTGGACACAGTGTTGATGGAGCTGGGAGTTCGTTTCCATCGACTGATCTACGAACACCTACAGCAATATTCCTACAGTTGCATGGGAGGCATGTTAGCTATTTGTGACGTGGCTGAATACAGGAAGTGTGCCAAAGACTTCAAGGTAAGCAGGTAAAGGTTGGTGATGTCAAAAGTAGTAGCAGGACTATTTTTAAGTCAGATTTCTTTGTAAAAATGTGTGGAAATATTTTGGAGATCTAGATGGGCGTTGTGTTGTAGGACTTGAAGCAACTCTAACTCTTAATATCTGTTTTTCTTTCTTTTAACTCCAGATTGCACTGGTGTTGCATCTCTTTGATACCTTGCATGCACTTTGCAATCTCCTGGTGGTAGCCCCGGATAACTTAAAGCAGGTTTGCTCAGGAGAACAACTTGCCAACCTGGACAAGAACATCCTTCACTCCTTTGTTCAGCTGCGTGTTGATTATAGGTCTGCTCGTCTTGCTCGTCACTTCAGCTGAGAGCACAGAAAGAACTGTTGCACTTTTGGGCAGGCCTCAGTTGTTAGCAAACACGAGGAATGATTTCTTACCAAACCATGGCTGTAACTTTTGTGGGATAGTGACTTCAGGATAAAGAAGCAGCAGCCATATTTAACCATGACTATGTAGAAGGTGAGCAGGTGAAAATCTGAATGATATTTCATGTAAGCTGAAGTTCTCCCAGTGAAGAATTTTGAAAATCTACTTGCTACTGATTTTCTTTTTTTATTTTTAAATTGGAAACATGTCAATGTAGGAAACCAAGTGGTGCATTGAAAGTCTTTGAGTCTTCATTATTGAATTATCAGATACTGTTTGTTAGCCTTGAACTACAGAGCATAGCATAGGTAATGGATTACATAGAATAGACCAGTGTAAAAACATCCTTCATCAATTGTAATGACTTAGACTTCAGCACAGCTAATCATAACCAAATTATCTTTGATTGGTGTTTCTAAGTCATTTCTTTCATTTAAAACATTATCCTGCTCAATGTAATTTCTTGCTCTAATTAATTAGCTTGGAATTTCTTTGAGATGTAGAAGTAACACTATCCCAGAAAGATCTAATTTATTCATTGTGTGGCATTCTAAACAGAACTAAATTGGTGAAAAGTTTTGGGGAGTTTTTTTTTGTTATTTGGGGGGGGTGTGTTTTTGTATCTAATATTCAGGGGCCCACCAGGACATGTTGGCATTGTATGATCTGACATTTTTGTGTGGTTGATACCAGCACACTGAGTTTTATATCTACTCCTAAGGGAATGCAGCCGCCTTGCCTGAGGCACTTATTACAAGGTGAAGGTGCCCATTGTCGGGTTAATCAAAGAGAACTTTCTCCTGCCTCTTGTTTTGTATGTAAATAAATTCAAATTATGACAAAGCAAAAGGATAAAATGTAGCCCAGTTTTTCACATGGAGGAGGGATGGACAGCAGCTCTATGAAAACCTGGAGTTAAAAATTCCTGTGCTGAAGAGAATTGATTCTCAGTGCCTGAGCAGTGTAAGATGTTGAAGTGTGTGAAAACACCACTGATCATAATTTTAATATTGGAGACAGGCCACTTTTGTGTCTATTCTGCTCCAGTGTTTGAGGTGTTTCTGAGATGGACCCACAGTGTGCACATAGTGAACTGAAGCAACAGTGATGTTTGAAACATCTGGGGTAGCTTTTCCACGAGCAGCTGAAAATTGTTGTAAATAGACTTTTTTGTTCAGAGAGAGCTCTTGCGGAAAACGGGTTGGAACTGCTGTGGTTTGTGTCTTCAGTCTGACTTAACATCAGCTTGAACTTCTTTCTCTCCTGTCTCCAGAGCAGCATTTCTATAAATTTAATTCCCAAGTTGGACAAATAAAATAGTTTTCCTCTTTTGTTCATGAATTCCCAGGTGTAGTCAATGTTGACAGATTTCTGTGGAACTTCTCTTGGCTAGTTGAGGTTCTTCTGCTTCATTTTGCTCAGCAGAGTGTTATGTCAGTGAAGAGGAGAACAGATGCCAGACTTTCTCAGAGTACTGGGGGAGACGGGCTGCTTTGTGGAGCTGTGGAGCTCTATTCCTTGGCCATGGCAGAGGCACAAAGAATTGGACACTGGAGGAGGCACATGCTTGTACTGCTGCCATTTTTTTTTCCAAAAGCTCTGATGTGAATTCAGATGATACCTCTGTTACCTCTAACTGAAAGCCAATGATTTTAAGGCTGTGGTTTTATTAACCGATACAAAATCTTTCTACAAAAAAAGTGTCAATTTGTAAACACTTCAGAAACAGTGACCATCACCTTCAGATGGCAGATCACAGAAACGCTTCAGAACTTGTTGTGTGTGATTGTTTTAATTATTTTAAGGTTGTATGAAACATAGTTACCATCCTCCTTGCTTTATTAGCTGTGTTTTCCATGCGTATGCTCAGTGCAATATTTTGATCGTGCCTGTTAACATGAGGCAGCAAAAAGTAGGTGAATACTTAAACTTAGATCTGTAAACTCTTCCTCAATAAAAAGAATTCCCTCCAGAAACTTTTTTTTTCATTTCCATGTTCTTCAAATATCTTTATACTCAGTTGTATAAGCCCGTCTATTAAAAAAAGAAAAAAAAAAAAAGAATAAAAGTAATTTTACTGACCAAATTTATCACTGGTGTGAGCTTTCCCTTTCCCCTTCCTTTAAAAAAAACCACCTGCACACTGAAAGTTTGTATTTCTAGTGAAGACTACGTTGTCACTAAGCTTACTTTACAGGTTGGATTGGGAGCTACAATTTTCACACATTTTGAAGTTTAGAGCTCTTGCTGCAGCATATAATTTGGGAAAATATTTCCAGTGGTTTCTGAATACAATCAAGCACTATCCAAAGTACAATTATGCCTTTTGATGTTGATGTAATGAGTTAAAGTATTGCCTTTCTTAATGTTTGCTCCTAGAACGTAGGCATTTAACAGGCTGGCAGCCAAATGAGTGCCTGAGAGGAGGTGTCTGTGTGTGTGTAATTATGTTGCCTAAAATTGGTGAAAATGGCTTTGCAGTAAACTGTTGCAGGCTGGAAAATAAGCTGTGTTTTTACAAGTCCTGTAATTTATTAACATGATTTGGTATTGTTTTGTTTGCGTGTGCACGGAGGGTGGGAGGGGTTGGTGTTCTGGAAGGGTACTTCTCAGCACAGTTACAAAAAATTGGGAAATGGAAGTGGAAAAAAATAAGATCTAGATATTCAGAAATACAGGCTGTGAAGTGAAGAAGACATGAACTAGAAGAATGTGGTGGACAAGCACTTTTGAATGAAGTAACATAGCACGTGGAAGGAAGGAGGAGGTTAAAATCAGCTCTCTGGTCATCTTTGTGGCCCTCCTCTGGGCCTGTTGGAGGGGATCCAGAAGAGAGCACAAGGATGATCTGAGGACTGGAACTAATATCCAACAAGAACAGGCTCAGAGAGTTGGGGTTAAGGCTGGAGAAGAGAAGGATCTGTGGAGACCTTCTTTCAGTCTTCCAGGATCTGAAGGGGGCCTGAAAGAAAGCTGGGGAGGAACTTTGGGCAAGGGCTTGTGGTGATAGGAGAGGGGCTAATGGATTCAAACTGGAAGAGGAGAGATTTAGATGAAATGTAAGGAAGTTCTTCACTATGTGGGTGGTGAGACACTGGCACAGGTTGCCTGGAGAGGTGGTAGATGCCCCATCCTCGAAAATGTTCAAGGACAGGTTGGATGGCGCTTTGAGCAACCTGCTCTAGTGGGAGGTGTCCCTGCCCATGGCAGAGGGCTGGAACTAGATGATCTTTAAGGTCCATTCCAACCCAAACCATTCTATGAAGTGTCATTAATAGAAATGTGACATCATGTCAACATAGGAGAATAAAGGATTGGAATTAAAGTCTCTGCAGCTGTGCCCCACCCTGGGATGAAGTGAACCTCTAGAGGGTGGGGACTGGCCAAAAGACTTTGCTGTAGAGCCGTTAATTAATCTTGAAACTTGGATTCAGGAGTCTGTACACTAGTGCACACGTGCTGTGGAGGATAGGTGGTGATGCTGGGGCTGTGAGCTCTGCTTATTTCCACGGTGAGGAGCAGAAAATGCATCTGCACCATGCAGACTGATTGGAGGGTAGCAGAGCTTGCCAGCACTGAACTTCTTTCTTTCTTTGAAGATTGCAGTGATTTAGCTAAGGGTAAGTGACTGCCTGATGTGAGAATGGCATCCCATTGATAGGTAGCAGGTCACTCTATCTCGTACCTGATAAAAAATGGGGTTGGTTTGGGTTTTTTTCCTCCTATCTTGGAAAGTCCCTTTAAATCACTAGTTGCTTCAGTGTTTAATTGCTACAGATAGTTTACTATTTCAGTTGCCTAAGGAGTGATCTTCCACCATGTAGCTGATGCTGGGTGTTGTGATTGTCATCTGAATTAATTCCTCGGTGTCTGTAGGGAATGTTGCAAATGTGGCAAAAATACCTCCTCTTACAAAGCACCCTGAAGAGGGTGAGACCAAATCCTTCGTGGGCTGGGTACTGTTGGCTTGTTCTTCAGAAGCCCGTGGTTCCAGGTTTCAATGTGTGCATGACAGTAAACCAAACATTCTCAATTGTAGGTGTCATGACAAATTCCAAAATGGAGAGATGCTCTTTGGATTAAGTTTTCATGGCACTAGCTATCTCTCTTTCCATTAGCACTTGAGCTGAACTGCTTGCAGATAGGAAAACCAGGCTGAGGTGGAGGTTTTCCTGTGCAAAGGAAGCAGGTACAGATATTTAAATAACTGCTTGTCCAATTTTAGACACAGCAGCTCTTCTCCTTCACGCTTCTTGTCCCAGGAGCAGCAGGGAGGATAAGCCAACCCTCAGCACCAAAGGACCAACTGAAAGGTAGGAACACCTTTCCTCCCCTCATGTTCTACTGGTTATTGGCTTCTAGGCACTGTTTTCAAGGCTAGCAGCTTTGTGCTGGTTGTAAGTGGAGACAGATGCCTGGTTTGCTCTCTACACTGGAGTATTTTCTCTCTGGGCATCAAGGCTGGTATGTTGTTTATTGTGGTTTTTACCTGGTGTTTCTACACCTGTTTTAAGGAGGGATAGGAGCCACATCTCCTGCCCAGTCATAGTCACTGTTTTGCTTGTCCTTTTTTCCCTCCTTTCTAACTTCTTTAGGCGATAGGAGATTTCTATGCCATGTCTTCTGCTTATCTTAGAGTGGGGAAGCAGCTGTGTTTGCCTGTCGTCTTTTCTCTTGTGTGGGGCAGTGCTTACCCTGTGTCAATACAGCCCTTGGTGTATGTGGAAGCCTTGCTTTCTACTTTTATGCTATTAGCTTTGTGTCCCTGTGACCTGTTTTCTTCTCCAGATCTCAGGGCTGCACTATCCCTTCCCCTCTGTTACCATGCTACCAGAGAGAGAAACCTTTAAGTTCGTAGCATGGCTTCTAGGAGACCTCTACATGTAATACCTAGTTGTTTTTCATCCACGTGTAGCCTGGTAGGAGAAGCAGTTCAGCTTCCTTCCCCTTTATTCCTCTGCTTCTCCCATATTCTTTCATCTTTACAGGTCTGCTATTGAGGGGTCAGCACACCCATTTTGCAACTGCCCTTGTTCTCCCCTGGTTGGGCTGTTTCTGCTCCCCACTTTTTTGTTGACTGGCTGTTTGCACCACAGTCTTCCCTTGTGATTTTTTCACCTTAACCTCACCTCATCTGCTCTCATCCCTACCCCAACTTCACTTCTAGCCGAGGGTGTACTCTGGTACAAAGGAGACCCTGGAGAAAAAGGAGACTTGGTTGTACCTCTGCTTTTCCTAGTTTGATTATCAATCTTTTGGGGGTAGGAACTGCTGTTCTACCAAGTGTCCAGCCTCATCAATACCACCTCTATGCTTGAAAAGAAAGGGAGAGATGTACCCAGAGTCAATCCATAGATAGATAAACTGCATGGCATCAGGGTAAACAGCTCCTGCAGGAAGTCATGGTTAAGGTTCACCTCAGTGATGCTGCCAGTTGAAGGTGGTCATTTTGAACTCTACACTCTTTTGACATGTGTTGGAGTGCTGTAGAGAAGCCAACTAACAGGAGCCTGCATGTGAAACACTTTATAACATTCATTTTACTGTAAACAATTCATTAAAATGACTTGCTAAGTCTTAGACAAGTGGATTTTTGAAGGTTGCTCATTTTACTTATCCACCCAAAGTCAATTTGAGTATGAATATATAACATTTTACTCATAATAGCAAACAACTTCAGAGAAGAGACATTTATTCTGGAGGCAGAGATTCAAATGAGACAGCAATGATGCATTACAAATATATA